CTCAAAGTCTACTCCTTTCTTCTGATTGCAGCCTTTCACTATAATCCAAGCTTTGTATCTCGACTTCTGCCTGTTTTCTTCATTCTTAATCTTGTAGACCAATTTATTTTTCAGAGCTCGTCTTCCTTCAGGAAACTCGGTTATCTCATAAGTCTGATTTTCGTGCAAAGACTTCATCTCGTCTTGCATGTCTTTTCATATTCTTCTTTCTCTGAGCTCGTCACAACCTCATCATAACTCTGAGTGTAACATCCTGAGCGCTGACGAGGGCGGGGAGTGATCGTCGGAGCAAAGAGGCACGAACAAGGAGCGGCTCTTGACAGGCTTCCAGCGGGGGTTACATGCATGACTGAATCGAATCGACACCCGAAAGAGAGGGATTTCAAAGACTGTGCAGGTATGAGACTGCACAGCTTGGGATAACTTATAAGAATTGATTGGTACTACCTATACTAACAAGATGCATCTAATTTTCAGTAGCCCGGAAAGAAAGAACGCCATAGTTAAGCGTGCTTCACTTGGAGCAATTCTGAGATGGGTGACTTCCTGAGTAGTTTTTCCAGGAAGTGTGTGAGTGAGAAAAAAGCACACTAAAAATCTCGTGTTAGCATGTGGGGATAATCATTGATTCTTGAAGCAGCCGGGCCTTAGACTAAGGCTCACCATCTTCAGCAACGACGATGTATTCATCAAGTAGGGACCTTATAGAGGGTCTTCTTTCTTGAGTTGGATATCTCAGCTGTTCTTCATCTTGAGAACCCGGTTCATCATTCTCATCCCGGATCTCATCATCAACTCGGACCTCAGTATCTTGGTCATCATCAGTTTGTTGCTGGTCATCATTTTCTTCATTCTCTTGATTTTCTCCCCCTGCTTCAGCTCAGACAGAAGGGGTGGATTATTCACGTCTGACAGTAACCCCGAATTTGGGCTTCGAGATGTCATGAATGGTTCATCTGCATGAATGATCACATCTCGGCTTCTCACTATCTTCTTATTAATTGGATCCAAAAGTCGGAACCCGAACTCACATCTCGGCGAACCAACATAAGTACATTCTTTAGTCTTCGCATCAATTTTTGCCCTTTCAAATTTAGGGATATGCACGAAAGCTCCGCATCCAAATACCTTCAATTGCTTGTCAGACTTATTGTGGGATTTCTCCTTCAAGTGGCCATGATGGTGAAAGTTGATCAAGTCAATAGCAGTTCTTCTCCCTAAAATGATTTCGGCAATCCGACATTGGATAACATACTTCAGACCTTTTCTTCAATAGTCCGGTTCATCCTCTCAGCCAGTTCATTCAACTGTGGGGTCTTGGTGGGCGTCATCTCAAGTCGAATCCTGGCCGCTCTGCAATATGCATCAAAAGGGTCGCAATACTCACCACCATCTTCAGATCGGACAACCTTCAATTTCTTAGAGTCTCTCTTTCAACCATAGCATGAAACTCTTTAAAGGATTGGAGTACCCGATCTTTAGATTTCAACAAACAAACCCACATTTTGCGGGAGTAGTCATCAATGAATAAAACAAAGTACTGAGCTTCTCCAAGAGATTTCTCTGACATGGAGAAAACATTAGTATGGACGAGGTCAAGAATATACCTGTGTCTTCTGGGTTGATCCGGTTTCACGAAAGAAACCAGGTGCTGCTTTCCAACTAGGCAGTGTGTGCAACTCTCCAACGCTTGGCCTTTCAACCCGATCATTAATCCTTTCTTGTTCAGAATTTGGAGCCCTTTCACGCTCATGTGGTCGAGGCGCTTGTGCCATAGCTCCAAGCTATGTCCATCTTAGGTAAAATTGACTTCTCCACCATTTATCTTTCCTTGCATCACGTACAAGGAGCCTTCCTTCTTACCTCGAGCAACAACCAAGTTTTCCTTGGCCAGCTTCCATCTACCACTACCGAAGTAACTCACTAACCCGACATCATCAAGCTTGCCTACCGAGATTAGGTTCAGTCGCATGTTAGAAACATACCTTACATATTTCAACACAAGTTGGCACCCAACATCCGTGGTCAGATTCACATCACCGACACCAACAATCTCTCTAGTAACCTGATTTCCTATCTTCACGACTCCAAAATCACCACCTCGAGGAGAAAAAATCTTTGTGTGGAGTAACATGCAAGGAGGCACCGGAGTCAACAATCCAGGTGCAGTCATCATATGCAACATTCAAATAATTGTCTTCTCCGAGGAAAAATATCTCGGCATCCGAGTTGGCAGCCACTGCAGTTGTGCTCTTGTCTTCCCTCTTCTTGGGAATAATCTGGTCCGGCTTCACAGAGTCGTTCTTCTCGTCATTCTGCAAAATCCTGCCGTCTAGCTTCTTATGACCTGGCTTCCCATAATAAAAGCACTTTAACTCATATTTCGATTTTGACCGGCCTTTAGATTTTTCTCGTCTGTCACGATCTCGACCTCGACTCTTACTTCTACCCCGGAAGTCGGATTTCCCTCTGTTCTCAGCAATGTTGGTCTTAGACATGCTAGAAATATCTCGTTCTTTTCTCCTGGCTTCTTCGTTCAGGAGACTATCTGTTACGGCATCTATCTTCAATTTTTCTTCTAGAGCCGAATTACTTAAAGTCACCACCAGAGTATCCCAGCTTTCTGGCAGCGAGCTCAACAGCAGCAAAGCCTGCATCTCGTCATCAATTTTTATCTCGGCTTTAGACAGCTGATTAACGGTACCTTTGTAGGTGTTGAGGTGCTCAGTCATGTTCATGGTTTGTTCTTGGGAGTCTTCTTCTGAATCATGAACTCCAACTTCGTCCACAACTCGTACGCGTTCGTGAACTCGGACACGTGCTCAAATAGGCTTTTGTCTATGTATTTTCTAATTGTAGTTACCGCCTTACGACTCAGGATCTCCCACTCCTTATCGATTTTTTCTGCTGATCTCTCATCAAGGATAATGGGCTTATGTAATTTGCAGTAGAGATAATCTTCCATCATTGGTCTCCAATAAGTGAAATTGTCTGTGGTCAGTTTGAATATATCTCTGTCATAGGTTATGCCACTGGTCTCCATGTCGTCTCCTTCAGAACCCGTCGAACCCGGGCTTTGATACCACTGTTGGGAACTCGGTTCCCTCAAATCGGCTAAGAAGCCTTTTCGCAGAAGTCAATCAACATGATCCTTGATCTCGAATCTCGGCAATCTGAACTCGGCCTGAACTTCACCAGGTTGGTCAGCGCAGCGGAAAAAAAAAAACACAAAGGATAGAGAGAGAACAAGCAGATTTTAATGTGGGAAAACCTTCTCCAATAAAGAAGTAAAAATCCGCGGGACCTAGTCCAGTTCAAACGTCCACTATGATAATAATGGGTACAAAGAATCAACCTTCACCAAAGTGGTGGTTAACTCAACCTCTCCAACAATGGTGATAATCAAACTTCCCTAGAGATTTTTCACTCGAACTCTCTCTAGAGGTGCTCTCAAATGCAAAGCTCAAAACTTTACTCACAAATATCTCAAGTGTCACTCAAGAGTCTCTCAATAATCTTCTTCTAATCTAGCCTCCACCCACAATTAATTAATATATAGGGGATGTGGAATTTAGGGTTTATGGTCTTAAGAAACCTCTCAATGGGCTTGAGTTTAGCATTTTTTTTTAAGGAGGAAGCTCAACATAAAGGCCTAAAGGGTATGAGGACTCTATGTTTTCGCAGAGTAACTGCTCGTAACGATGGATTCAAAAGGTTTGTTCAATGACTGAAGATGAACATTTATAATTGAGAAGTATTTCCTAATAATAAGAGAAAATCATAGCCGTTTTGTCCAGGGCCCCCGCTACGTGCATAAGGCAAACATGGAATAAAGTAAGTTATAGTGTAAGGGAGTAAAATCCTTTACTGAGTCTAAAAAGTCTTATTTTAGGGAAGGGGCTCATGTGTGGTCAGTCCATAACAATGTTAATTAAGAATCTCAAATTGACGATCTCTTGTAATTTGAGATGAAGTTGTACGATTCTTTGATTAGAAGATATATTAGGCTATGATATATGAGCAGAATCATATTTGCAATTTTTTTTTTTATAAATTTTTATAAATTACACTATGTATTACAAATAATACATACTACTTGGATATGAGGTAGGATATTCCTACTACCTATTTTTTTTACTACCACTTTAATCACTATTGGATTCAAAAGTTATTTTTTTTTTCTCTCTTCATTCAACTTTTCGTTTAATCAAATGGTGATTATAGTGGTAGTGGAGTGGTAGTAGAAAAAATAGATAGCTCCTTGGATATATATATATATATATACATATATATATATATATATATATATATAGGAAAAGTATTTCTACAGTCACTTTAGATAAGGTTATATACAGCCACCATTTTTAACTATGTTCTCCCGGAAGAACATCTTCCGGAAGAACATAGTTATAATACTAAAGTTGATTTTTTTCTCTCTCCACGTCAGCAGACCTGGTGGCTGCTTATCTAAAGTGGCTGTAGAAATGTTTACCCTATGTATATATTACCTGTAATACATAATATAATTTATATAAAAGATTATAAAAAAAAAATTACAAATTAAATTATGCAGGCTCGGAAGTTTGTAATTAGTTGTGCTGTTTTGTAGGCAGCTTTTTGAGCAGCGTGTCTTGGATCCAGAAACAGTTTATTATTGTCCGTAATAGCTGAGTAATAGAGGTATTAGGTAAAGTAGTTCTTTCAGCTTCATCTTATTAGAAAAAGTATTTTTAATTCTGAGGTGGGTGGGAAGTTGAGCAAACCATAACCATTCTATCTTTACACAATGGTAGAATTTATAGTAATACTATATCAACTGTCGTTTCATGATCAGGATCATTTGTCTTTTATGCTGTCCCATTTAAACTAGAATATGTAGAATGAAAATGCTCATATTATTAAAACAATATAAGAAATTCAATCATAACGACATTAGTGAAGCAACGGAAAATAAACAAAGCAAAACTAAAACATAATTCTGATCAGTGGATTGCACAGGCTCACAACCGATCACAGTGTGTAGGGATGAAAGAAATGGTCTCTTTCTCAAGGTCATGGTTCACCAAAATGTTCTGCTGTTGAATATTGCCGAAGATGGACATTCCATTGGAAGCTCCCATAGCTAAGCAAGCCACTCCTACACTCGAATCAGCAATTATATAATTCTCAGCAGGCAACTCCAAATCTCCACCTCTGAAATGGAAAACCAACTTGGGAATTTCCACTTGTGTTGTCTCTGATGATGGCAAAGTAAAACAAACATCTAGGCCAGTTGTGCCTGAATTGTCCACTGGAAGCTTTGTTTGAGATATGAACTCCTTCTTGAGTGCATCATAAGCATTCTCTTCAATGTAAGTAATTGTTGTGCCAGAGTCTATGATTACACCCCCCGTGCCATCATCCGCTACATCAAAAGTTGATTTCTCAATGGACAATCTAGTGTCACCAACAGAGATACCTTCAAGAGAAAGGTAGTAAAAAGATGGTTGTGATGGGTTTGTAAGAAGAGGGGTTGTAAGTGGTTTTATTGTGCTATTCACTCTTGCCAATGACCCCAACAACAGGACACTGGCTTTTGTGTTATCCATTGAGGTCAAACAATAGGAAAACTTTTGTTCCTTTAACTGAGAAACCAAGGACAAAGGACCACGTCCTAACCCAACCAAACCCGAAGCTTGCTCAAAACCATCACCTTCATTTTCTTCTCCACAACCAAAACCAATGTTCTTAGCCTTAGCTTTTCCCCCAAAAGTGAAAGTCTCAGTGGCCAAAACGCCCTGTGTCATTGAATAGTCACCATATGTATACATATATTGGCAACCATCACCGCAAGTTGAGGAAGGTAGCGCACTACACAAGTCGCTACTACATGAGAGCTTGGAAAAAGTAGAAGACTTTTTGGGATCAAAAATGGGTGTGGGTTGCTTGTAACATTGAGAACAAGGCATGCATTGTGTCCATATGAGATCACTGCCAGTGTCCAAAACTGCAGGGTAAGACTTTGGTGGAGTTCCAATGGATAACTCCATCAAATACTCACCATTCCCTGCATGGATTGGAGATTCTAATTGAGAATCTGGTGTTGATGCTGCCAACACCATTGCATTCAGCCTTTGTAGCCTGTTCTTCCCACGCTTGATCCCATGTTGGACTCGCTCGAGTTTGGTTAAGTTTTTCCCTGAATCAACATGGTGAAGAGAGACTCGGAAACCAGTTGGGTGAGTGTGAGTGTGAGGAATTTTGGGGTGATCTAGAGCGAGTCTTGATGTTGAGGATGTTGGATCAACGCAAAGAACAGCAACTAGTAGTGCCACCAATATGGCAGAAGAAGAAGAAGAACTTTGCAATGTAGCCATGACCATGAGGTTACACAATAGGACTTAATGGAGATATGATGGAAATAAATATAAAGTGGGTTATTGAGTGAAGCACAAGGGTGATGGGAATTGTGGGAATATATATAAGGTGTCTTGCTAGAGAAATGGTCTTAACTTCATTAATCACATAGAGTAGTGATCTTGTAACGTTCCCTTCGAATATGGAGGAGAAGATAATGGGAATTCTCTTTTGAAGAAGACCAAAATGTGAGTTAATTTGGCTTTGTCATCTTTCTTTCTTTTTACTTAAAAAAAAATAAAAAAAAATAAAAGAAGTTTGTTTTAGTGTAAACAGAAAGACGTCGTAGGTTTGATGATGAATGGAGGTTGAGATATCAGCGTGGTGTCGCAACTAGTACCGGGTCTTACGTTGTGGTTGGTAAAGATTTTATTTTCAAAACGGAGTTACATTATCTAAGGCAACATTGTTGGGACAAAAGCCAAGAGTCTCTTACGCGTACGGTTAAGGGTTCTTGGATTAGACGATCGCCTAGTTTTGCTTTGTCTTGGAGTTAAGACTTGAGAAGGATCTATTTGTATTTTGTATTTCTCTTTTGTTGTTGAGCGAATAATGATTATTACGATGTTGATCATGAATCGAGTGAACCGCGCACTTTATATAAATCATTAAACCCCTAGAAAAGTGGTAGGGTATTATGATATAAGTATAAGCTTGTGTAATATGATATTTTTTTATGTACACCTACACCTTTTTGTTCTCCTTTTTGCCCTCCCTCTCCTCATTTTTATTTTTTTTTTGTAAATGCCTCATTTCTTTTTCTTTCTATAGTTTGGTCCACAATTGGATTTTTATCTAAAAGTTGTGAAGAGATTGGATCGGATAGGTTGGGTGGACAAACTGGTTTACTAAGTGCTCCAAAGAGTGGAAACTGAGCTTTGTTTCAATTCCACGCAACCATGGAGAGAAAAAGGTAGGTTGATAATCCTTTTTTAGTTAGGTGAGACGGCCTTAGAGACAAAGATATTATGCCAATTTATTAATCCCTTCATATTTTACAATTTAGCATGGTATTGATCAAAATCTTCGAATATGTTTCATATTATAATACATGACTTAAATTAAGATACATAACTATATATTCAAATATACTAGTATATGTTTCCAAAAAAATAAATAAAAAAAATATACATATATATAATTAATTGATGATTCAATAATTTTTTTAGAAAAATATAATATAAAATTAATATATGACCTTCACCTAAAAACTTATATTTTGGGATTGAAATAATTTTTTATATGATATCAAAGTCTTCATGATCAAGTAAAAAAAGTATGTTAGAAAAATATAATATGAAATTATTAATATAATCTTCACTTAAAAATTTAACCTTTTAGGTTAAAATTGTAAAAATAACGTGGAGAAACTGAAAACCAAATGATCACTAGAACTAGTGATACATCATAATAATTGGCATGAAAGCGTGGCTTGTTCGTGCCCAGCAGAATTATGCAGCAGTATCATAACCATTAATTGTTAACGATAATATTGTAACAGTTAGACTCCGCCAAAACCCCATAATACTTATTTGACATGATTATGTATTCTGGGTTAAATTTTAACAAACGACCGAGCTATGTTAATTTTATTCGAATATTAAATAATCGTATATTTTAGTTATTTCACTCAAGCTTTGAACAGAATGATTATCATGTCATGTGTTAATTAGTCCTTAAGTTTAAAGAGAAATACATTTAGCTCTTAGAATTGGCTCAAATGGCAATATGAGCTCGAACTATCAAGAGAACATGGGTTTGAATCATGAAGAAAACCTTTGAGGTAGTTTTGTCATGATGCTCCATTCAAATTTAGTCTTATATTCAGACTCCTTTCCAGCAAGATTATTCGTCAAAATTAAATGGATTTGGACAACTTCAAGAAATTTCATATGTCTGATTATCGATACTTATTAATACTTTAATTTGGTTTCATCCCTTCAGGATCTGTTTGTAGTTTTTATTGTTATTTAAGCTATATTGTTATTATAAATTATGAAGTAATTTTTATATTTAAACTTTTTATAATTATTAATTAGAAGTTTAGATGAATATAAGAGCAGAGAGATCACTGCTTATTGAGTAAACTATTCAACAAAAGACATTTTAGAAAAATGTAAACAAAATTAGTTAGTAAAAACGATAGTAGATAAAGTAAATAAGATAGACAATCTAACAAGATTCACAAATACAACTTAAACCACCGGGGTTATTTATATGTTACTGTGAATATTTTAAGGTGTTTATTTATAGAATTGATATTTTTTTCTTTTTTTTGCGGTACAATGACGGTTGAGTTTTAACTTTTACACCTAACATGTATAAAATCACAACATGCGACAACAGCATGAACCATAATTTTTTATTTTTTTATTTTTGGTCCAAAAACGTTAAGATGAGATTCCTGCCGTGCAGAAAAGTCCTTTATCTATTGAAGGAAAAAAGTCTGTTGCTCCAACTTTCTTAGGGAGGAGAAGAACTAGGTAACAGTTAACATAAGTAACTTACTGATTGAAGTCAGAAAGACTTCAAAAAGTTAAAATACATTCTGCACAATTGAATTTATATTTAAATCGCTATATCTTGGCACAACCATCATATTGATGTAATTTTTTTTAAGAAAAAAAATCTCTATTTTTCAAACATAATATTAATATAATGTTATAAGTCCCCCACACATTCCATTCAAAATTATCACGGGTCATCCCCATTTCAGAAAAAAAAAAATTCGGCACAGTTTAACAGTGACTAATTTCAAAGAATCCATACGAAGGAAGAGTGACTATTTTGTCACACTTCAGCAAATTATTTATGCCAACAGTAAATTTCCGAAGATAGGAACCTTTCGCATGGTCAGACAGGTCCTCCAAGGGATCACACTGATTCCACGAACTCAGTGGCTATGGAAGATAAAATAGAAGATGAAGGGCAGAGAGTAGAACCGAACAGAGAGGAACAACGTGGGTCAAAGAGGAGAGAGAAGCGGACACCTCAATGGCTCAGGGACTTTGTGATGCTGACAGGTGTCTAGATGGTGGGTGAGTGATGTGGCCACGTGGCCAGTTGAGGAACTCTGATGTTGGTAGATGGAAGTGGGTAATGGGCTGTGAGTGAGCAGAGCTCATGGTGGGCTGATCAGCAAGAAGTGGTAGAAATAATGGGCTGTGTTATACATAGGCCCATCCGTAATGTCATTTTTATAATTTTGCTTTCTGTTGCTATATAGGTTGATAGGGGACCACTTAAGGGTTTATGCAAATATCTTGTAACAAACTTCTCCTTCTTCCCTGCAAAAACCCTTCTGGAGTTGCCGGCATCCTTGAATTGCCGTTGATAATTTCATATTACGTATATTTCTTCTCTATATTACCTTTCCAGATAGTTAACTCTATCATTTGGTGCTCTTTTCATTGAGAGACAACTTCCTCAAAAAAAATGGCGGAAGGAACTCGCTCCACAGTAAAAACAAATATGATGGAAGAATGTGTAACCAAACTTGCTCGTCACGAGGAACAGTTCAATGCCTTTGGGGAATTGCTCCAGAGCATGAACCTAAAATTGACATTAATGGAGGCCAAGTTGGATCAGTATCAGAAAAGCAAAGTTGAGCATAAGGGTGGAAGCAGCAATGAATCAGGACTAAACACTTTCTTGGGAAATAACGCATATAAATCTGTAAAATTCTCCGTACCTAGATTTGCAGGAGGGAACCCCGAACCATGGATCCACAAGATTCAGCAATTCTATGGGTTCCACAATTTGAGTGATGGGGATAAGCTGACGTTGACGTCCTTCCAGATGGATGGGGTGGCTGGAAATTGGTTCCATTGGATGGAACGAAGCCAGCGGTTATCAACGTGGAGTGCCTTTGTGATAGCATTGCGTTCACGATTCGGACCATCCAAATATCGCGATCTCCGAGGCAAATTGGGAAGATTGACACAGCATGCCTCAGTTGAAGAATTTCAGAAGGAGTTTGAACAGTTATCCAATCTCATCATAGGGATAGATGATGTTACCTTGCAGAGCTATTTTGAGAATGGGCTCAAGTCTGAAATCCGGAAAGAGGTTCGAATGCACCTCCCTGACTCCTTGCAGAATGCCATCGAATTGGCTAAGGTGGTGGAAGACGAGTTCAATGACCGAATCCCTGCAAGATCGGGATACCAGAGAAATTTCACCAACAACCAAACCACTAAACAGCAGCCAGACTTGTTACCAACTCCAAACAAAGGTACGGTCAACACAACTGGAACCTCGAAAGATATCCTGCCAATTAAGCGCTTGTCAGCAGCTGAAATGATGGAGAAAAGAGAGAAGGGGCTATGTTATTATTGTGATGACAAATTCCACAGAAACCATGTATACAAGGGAAAGATGTTCTTATTACTTATTCAAGAAAATGAGGAAGAAGAGAAAGATGAAGTGATAGAAGCCACAAATGAGACAATTGGGGGTGAGGATGACATACCTGGCATCAGTTTACATGCTATGGATGGCCAATATTCATCTAGCACCTTGCGGTTGAAGGGACTGATCAATAAGCATTCGGTCCAGGTATTGGTGGATGGGGGTTCCACTCATAACTTTGTCCAAGAAAGGATAGTCAAGTTCCTTGGCTTGGAGGTGCAACCCATTGGGCAGTTTAAGGTGATGGTAGGAAATGGGGCCAGTCTAGGGTGTAAAGGGGTTTGTAGACAAGTAGGGCTGGAATTACAAGGATATAAATTTTGTCCAGATCTGTTTGTACTACCTATACAGGGTGCTGAGGTAGTGTTGGGGGTACAATGGTTGTCTGAATTTGGAGATGTGACCACTAACTACAAGCAATTGGTCCTGAAGTTTGAAAGGAAGGGCGGGTGATTGAGTTGAAAGGGGAGACCAAGATGCAAGTAGAACCCATTGAACTTCATCAACTCCGTAGGCTAAGTAATTCTGATGCTGTAGCCACTTATTTCCA